CATTACTTATGTGGCGCCTAGTCATAATAAGGAAAGGTGTCACATGCCAATATCATGTTATTTCTTTGAGTTTGAACAATATAGTAGATTTAATGTCTTGATAATTGATATATGTGACATCTAATAATTGTTTTCCATTATTTTTTTCCTTATTAATGGTTTAAAATTACCAAACATAACCCTCTTTCAACCCGTGAACAAAGGGAGTATATTTTTCCATCATCAATCATCAGTAATCATCAATTTATAACTAATACTAAAATAACAAACGCTGACATCATTATTCCTTTTTCTCTAAGTTGTACGTGTCAGATTCTCCTTCAATTTTTCCTACCTTAACTCTTTTTTTTTATATTTTTTTTTTTGGAAAAGCTAGATATTGATGCAAAGATTAATTATTTTATACAATACTTAATTTAAGGTACATATATATAGCTAACTTTAAGTAAACCACATATTAACACTATATATATATATATATATATTATATATATATATATATATATATATATATATATATATATATATATATATATATATGTGATTACTCCATTTAGTTACAAAGTCCACTAAATTTGTTTTAGACATGAATTTACTTTTGTTTATATTATTTTAATTTAATTGTGTTTAAATATGTGATTACACTTTCTAATGACAAATATTATTTTATTTCGCTCAAAAAAAAAATTATTTTGTTGTAACGAACATAGCTAATGTTTGTTACAAATTTAGTATTTAATTTGAAACCAGTAAAAATTGTTGGTAACATATACGACTTTACAAATAACATTTCTTTACTAGTCAAAGCATTTACATATATATTTTTTAATGATAATATGACTTCAAAATGTACACAATTATAAATTCTTTATATTATATCTGTGCATCTCACGCGAACTAATCTAGTAATCAATAATCATCAATAAATATATACTAAAAACACATTATAATGACACGTTTCATCTATTGGTGTGTTCTTAGTATTTTTTTCTCTTTGCTGAATAAAATTTTATTAAAGAAACAAATTTTTTATCCAAAATAATTCCCTAACCTTATACAATATAAATACATAAAAAAACGAAATTTTGTAAGAAACCACCTGTGAAAAACACATTTTTGTCAAAAACCACCCGGAAAAAAATTAGTTGTCCATGACCACCAATTTAAAAAAATTTATTGTCAAACGCCACTAGAGTCTATATTCCGGCTTTAAATCTCAACTCCGGCGTTGACCACAGCCTAGTGACTCCCTCCCTGCCTTTTTTCCTCCTCGAAATTTCGGGAGTTCCCTCCATTATCTCTCTCTTCTTTCTCTCTCAAGACAAAATCTTTCATTCCCATAATCTTTCATTCCCGAATCAATGACCATCGAAAATGATTGCAAATTTCAACAACAGATAGCAAAATCAACAGCAAAAAAAGAAAAAAAAAACAATTCAACAAATTGGGCAATCAACATAAAATTAGTAGCAAATTAAATACAAGAAAACAACGAATTAATATAAAATTACATATAAGAATAATGAAGGAAAATTAGAGATACCCAGATGAAATTAAAGAGTAAAAATGAGAAGAAAAAAAACCCATACAGGGGAATTTTTGCAGCAAAGGAGAAACGACTTCTCGAAGAACCCAAGAAATAACAAGAGAAGCACCAAAGAGTTAACAGACAACAATAAGCAATCACGAATTCACTGTTTCATCTACTAGCAATTACTCGATTCACCTTCGCAATTAAGGAGGATGTCCAATCTTTTTGTAATTTCCAGAGGGATTAATGGTTGGAAGAGAGAGATAATGGAGGGAACTCCAGAAATTTCGAGGAGGATAAAAAGGTAGGGAGGCAGTCATTAAAAGTCACGTGCAAGGAACGTGGCTGTGGTAAACGACGGAGTTGAGATTCAATGCCGGAATATAGACTATAGTGGCGTTTGACAACAATTTAATTTAAATGGGTGGTCACAGACAACAAAATTTTTTTCAAGTGGTTTTTGACAAAAATGTGTTTTTTACGGGTGGTTTTTGATAAATTTTTTTTTTAAAAAAATTAGCATATTTTTAACACAAATAATTACATAGCTATAAAAAATTTATTATCATAATTTTGATCATATTATATAGTACATCATTTTTGTAGAATTTTTTATGTTTATAACATCTAATTATAATGGTAGTATAATAATGATTATTGAAAATTATTGTGCATGGCACGAGAACTAAACAAGTATATCTTAAACAAAAAATCAATTATATCTTCAATAACTTCACTTTTGTGTTTTAAAATAAAACTTTGAACATTGACTTATAACTCCAAAACCATTCAAAAAGCTATAAATTAACTCAATTTCTCAAAATCATTCAATAACTACCTTAAATCAGATAACCAATTTATCAAAAAAGGACTTTATAATTTGTGAGATCTAATTTATTACCACCTAATATCTTATCGCTCACTATTGTCTTGTAGTTTGTTTGTTGTTTCCTCTTTTGATTTTTCCCGTCGATGGAGTTTTAGAAGGTTACCCCTAAATGCATGTCCTCTACTTTAACTTAGTTTTGCATTTTCAATCTATTACTTTAAAAAATACCAATCTTTACATTGTTTCTCAAAATGAAGTGTTTGGGGGCCTTTAAAATACAAATTTAAAGGCCCATAGTATGTCAATGGTGTCTTCCTTAGAGAATAGATCAATGGTACCCACAGTTAAGGGTACTGATGAATGACAAATCCAAGGGCAGGCCTACCCAGGCCACGACCCGCCCTATGCCTAGAAAAACTAGGTATGTATAATAAATTCTTGTTAGATTTTACATAGAATACACTTAGCTGAGATGGTTTCTAGCCCTTTAGTGTCTATTTTGGTAATGTAGGTGGTGGGTTCTAATCGTAAAATTAGCAATTTTGTATCTTTGTCCTATATTTTTACTATATTATTCTTTTTCTTAAATAACATTTCATTACTTTATATTTTGTACGACCTGCCCTATATATAAATCCTAGATCTATCCTTGTATTGAATCACTAAAATGTGTGATTCATTTTGTGTTGTTAAGCCTTGACCGCTTTGTTTTCCTTCCCCATTTACGTATTGTTATAGGATGTTGGTGTACGTCCTTTTCAGCTCGTTTATATGTATGCTAATTTTTGTGTGCTCGTTGTCTTCTTATGTATTCTCTAAGTTTAATGGAAAGACGTTGGATCAATTAATGAAATGTTGTATTCCTTAACAAGATCTAGCTCGGAAGATGGACTTTAGTTTAATTTATTCTCGTTGTAACAAAAGAGCTAGTAAGGCTCGTAGTTTGTAATACTTTAATTTCATTTATATATATTTAAACCTTTGTAAACAAAAAAAAGTTTGTAAAAACTAAGTTTAAAAGTAATTAAATTGGTGAAGGTGAAATTCAGGGAAAGCATGATGAAGAATTGTGGAATAAAAAGGAAAAATTAACCATTAGATGGGCCTAATTAACGAATTTAATTATGTAATTTGTTAAGGAGGTGAAAAAATGTAGAGTTAAAATTTTAGTAGATGGTATGATTGTCGGGTGATAAAACACATTTTTTTTAAAAGCTGGTATAAAAATAAAAAAAATCCAAATAAAAAACCAACTTCATTTCTTCCAATCGCTAGTCCCTGTAGGCTCCGGTATATTGCAGAATACAACCATTTTGTAGGAAAGAGCAAAAAAAAAAAAAAGTAATGAACATATAACTATAGTGAAAATAACATACTATTAAAATGTAATGAACATATATCTATAGTGAAAAGAACATACTATTAAAATGTAATGAACATATAACTAGAGTGAAAAGAACATATTTCCATCAAATAAGAGTGAAAAAAATATATGTCTATGTTATTTGATTACCATTGTAATGTAATTTTATTTGTGACATAATGTTCATTGCTTAATGTGAAATGTTTTTTTGAATTTTTTCTTCAAATTATGGTGGGTACATATAAATAATGTTCATTAACATAATATTATCGTGTTTTTATTTTTTTCTTTTTTATATTAATATCAAAGATGTTCTTTAGATATTAAATAAAAATAAACGGGATATTCTTTACAAAACAACTATATGTTCTTCACAAAACAGATTTATGTTCTTTACAAAATAGCTACATGTTTTTTCCGCGTTTTTTTTGTCTGTACCAAGTATGGTAAAACCACCTGTAACTTAAAATTTTCACATTTCGGGAGTAAAATATATTGTATAAAAGAAAACTAATTTTAAAAATGCTTATATCATTCCGTGTAATACAATATCTTATGCATTTAACCACAGATATTCTAGTATACTAAAAGACACACAACTAACAACACTGTCATCTTCTGATGTGTCCTTAGGTTTTAATATTTATTTTATTTTTAAAAAAATCTATTTAAGAAACATATCTTATATATATTAGCAAATTTATATATAAATAAAATATTTGATGTATCTTTCCATGATAATACATTGACAACTATATAAATTAACATTAGTAAAAATATAGTAATTAATCAGATATTTAACAGAATTTGTGTCAAATATTGCAAATGGATTTTTTTTATGTTATTTTTTATATATTAGAAGTTCTAAGAAAGTATTTCAAATACTAAACATTAAAAATTAAAATAACATTTACTAAAAGACACATCACCTATTATTTAGGGTAAAAATAACACCAACACGTGGACCAATCCAATGGCGACACATGGCCCAATAAAAGGGCAACACATGTCCCTATTGGAAGATAACACGTGTCAACACTTGATTGCGTCGCCAATCAGAGCATGTAATTCTAAATCCCTAAAGGGGCACAATTCCCCACCCCTATAAATACCCTAATCATTTGTGATAAGAGGGGTGGATTGTGACATAACATAAAAAGAGCAATAAGAGCTCCAACTTCTCTCTACTTTCTCCCTCTAGTTTTTCTGTTTTCCGGTTACTAACTTGACCGTCGAAGGCGAATATTCTGGTAAATGGAATATTCGTTATTTTTCAGGTGTTCGAGCCTATCTGTTCGAGAGCACGACCAATATCCCGAAGGAATAAAAAAACCATATAACATTTGGCGCCTTCTGTATGGATACTCGTTCGTTATGGCATTAGATGGTCAGAAAACTAACACTGGTCCTGATCCTGGTCAGGACGGACACGTAGAGAATTTAATCGCAACAATCAATACTAGTGATCCTCTAACTACCTTATTCCATGAGGCCGAGGATCCTCTAGCGACTACTAGTTCTCTCCAAGATGCCTTTAATAAGCTTCGAAGAGAGCTTGAGAGTAAGATGCCTTCTAGTTCTAGGCAGCAGCCCAGGAGGGAAGGAGAAGGCCCTTAGAGAAAAGCTTAGAGCAAGGTTGCCAATGCTGAAGATGCCAAGAATACCCCATTCTGCCGACATGGACGGTCACCGAGGGTTCCACAGACGAATATGTCTAGGCTCCTCGAGAAAACATATTCAGCCGGGGGGGGGGGGCATATCAACAGCCTTAGAAGGAAGTAACTGAGCCGTCTTTGCGGTGGAAGGATGCAAGAGAACATATTCGGCATAAGCAGCGTGAGCGGGCAACCTATTTGGACACTACTTCCACTTCAACCATGCTTGATAATTTCTCAAACTACACCTTCTCCAAGCATACCAGCTTGGCCAGGACCTGCAGAAGTCAAGCTTACAGTACACCTACTCAAATTCTTGTAGTTGAACCCCTTCAATAGTAGATGCCCCAATATTTTAATGCAATTCTGCCGCCTAATCCCTCTGTTTATAGATAGTACGGGAAATATGGCTAGCTGTACGAACATGTAGTTTACTTAGCCAAACCCGCCGCATAACCTCAGCCCATTGATTGGAAAATGCGCTTGTTAAATCTTAGTGACAAGCCTCCTCCGTTTCTAAAGAAATTCTCAACTCTACTGAACCAGCGATGATGAAGAGTGTACTTATAGGTGCCTATGATGGTACGGGAAACCCAAAAGAGCACGTCACCTCGTACAAAAATCTGATGTACTTGTAAAGTGTGGATGATACCATTTGGTGTATATGATTCTCGACCCCTCTCAAGGGCATGACACATGATTGGTTCCATAGCCTGCCGCCCGGATGCATCAATTGCTTTACAACTCTCAGTCTGTTGTTTGTTGGAAACTTCTCCTTCAACATATCTCCTCGGAAGACTAACCTTAATTTGGCAACTATAGTCCAAGGAAAGAACAAAGTGTTGCGTTCGTACGTCCAAAGGTTTAATCAAGAGAAAGCCCAAATTCATAATCTGCCGGAAGAAATGGCCTTCTTGGAGTTTCTTCGGGGATTAAGGCATAGCAGTTTGAAGTTTGACTTGGTCAGAAAAAAGGTTCGGACATACGCTGGTGTTCTAGGGGAAGCCGAAGCCTATATTGAAGCAGCTGATTTCTGTTCGCTTACAAAAGCAGAAGTACTGGTTAAGTGGTCTAAGAAGAAGCAATCTACTCATCAAGAGGTGGCCGATAAGAAGAAAGAAGGAAGCAAAAAAAGAAAAGAAGTCTAGGTGGCCGACAGCCAACGGAAAAAATCAGAGAAAGCCAAGATGTACGAACTCCAATATGAATTCAACAAATATTGTTATTCAATTTTGATGAAAATCAAGGACAATAGTTCGAGTTTGAGAAGCCTCAACTGTTGAGAGGATCGGCCTAGTACCAAAACAAGAGCAAGTACTATCATTACCACAAAGATGTGGGGCATGGCACGAACGACTACAACAACTTGAAGAGGTTGCTAGACAAGCTGGCTGAGAAGGGCATGCCCAACTGGTACGTCATGAAGTCTAAGTTCACCTACACTCGGACATACAACAAATCCGAGAAGAAGAATGATAAAGAAAAAGGTGATGGGAAAAGCACTGATTCAGGGTTCGTGGACCTTTATCAGGTGGCTTTGCTGTATGCAGGCGACCCAACCATGAAAGCAATTAAACAAGATGCATGGACTGAGAATGTGATGCACACTGAAGGGGTTAAGGATAAACCTTTCCTATAAGTGATGGTTTGCGAGTTAGATCCCATGGTGTTCCTCTTAAAAGTTGCAAATTTTAAGGTCGACCGAGTGTTAGTAGATACTGGTAGGTCGTCTGACATAATCAGCCTAAGATGTTTGAAAAATTTAAAGTTCCCAGAAGATGCTATCCATGATATTTCTCATCCAATAGTCAGATTTAGAGGGAGTATTATCCACCAGGTCGGAAGAATTGACCTGCTTGTTTGGACCGGGAAGAAGAGAGAAGGAAGGAACATGGTTGTTTGCTTCCTAGTGGTAAAAGAGCTCATGGGCTACAATGTTATTCTCGGCCGCCCTACTTTAATAGCAACAAAAGCATAATCGTTCCTTACTTAATGCTGATGAAGTTTGAGCGGACGGATGGAAAGATAGGATCCATTCAAGGAAATTAGAAAATAGCTGAGTAATGTAATCAAGTAGCTATAAAGCCAACATCACGCATACATAGGAAAGCGTCTGAGCAAAATTCCGAAGAAAGGTCTTTCCTTGGGAGCCGCCAACAAGTTTTTAAGGAACTTGTAAACCGTTTATCGATCATAAAAGACAACCAAGATAAAGGGGCAATGAAAGGCAACAACGATTGACCCGTGAAGGTTACACCCCATTCATAATCCATGAGATTACTAACTCCATGTGGTTCTTAACCATGAAAGGAGGATCGGGGATAATGGTACAAAGTGAGTCATGGAGTCACATTCGCCCGTATTGGCCTCTACTCGATTCTTTTAATGAAAAGTGATTCCTGCGATCTCAAAGGCATACAGACAAAGATTCGATCATTAGTAGAAAAACATAATGGCAAGCGGTTCAAACCCGCTAATGGGTAGAGGTTCTAAACAGCATGCCCTTAGGGGGCTTGCAATTGGTCTTTAAAATGGCAAGCAGTTCGAAACCGCTTCCTAGTAGTAGTTAAAGGGAAGCGGTTTTGGCGCCAAACCGCTTCCCATTAGGGGTATTAAAAATAATTTTTTTTTTTGTTTTTTTTCACTTAAATTGATACACAATCAAAACATATGTAAAAACATTAATATTTTTATTAATTAATTATTATAATATTACAATTTCTGATTTTCAACAACAAAAAAAAAATTAACAAAAAAATTGATAATAAACAAAAACACACAACCAGTCACCATCCCACACCACCACCCACTAGCCACAACCAACATACCCGTATCCAGCCACCAGAACCCCCAACCCTGACCCACCCACCCGTACCCAGCCACCACCTCACACCTCCAGCCTCCCTAACCCACCCACCCATCACCCCACACCTTCCCCCTCTGTAACCCACAACCCACCCAAACAAAACCCACAACCCACCTAAACAAGATCTCCGCATCTTCCAACATCTCAGACCTCCACCCTCTGTAACCCAAAACTCTCCCAAAGAAAACCCACATCTCTACCCAAACCGTAAGTCACCCACCACCCCACACCTCGACCCTCCATAACCCACAACCCACCCAAACAAAACCCACATCTCCACCCAAACCACATCCGCAGCCATGAAAACACCGATTTTAGCTTGAAATTATGGTTTTAAAGGTTAAATTCGACATGAAAACTCTAGAACTAGAATTTTGATGGTCGAATTTGACCTAAAAAAACTTAAAAATCCACATGGTTTGCACGAATTTCCTCAAAATTTACTAAAAATTTTACTCGAAAGTTGCTCGAAATTGTAGTCTAAATTTGACTCGAAATTTGCTCAAAATTATACCCTTTTTGGTTCGAATTTGCTCAAAATTTTTGCGGGTTTTGGTCTAGGAGAGTGAGAAACAAAGAAATGGAGGGAGTGAGAAAGAGATTGAGAGAGGAGAGTGAAATGAAGGGAGTGAGAAATAGAGGGAGGAGTGAGAACGAAAGCGATCGAGAGAGGAGAGTGAGAACTGAAAAAGAGAGGAGAGAGAAGAGGAGAGAGAATGGGTGGAGTGAGAATTGGTTATGAAATGGATAAGGTTTTTTTTGTAAAGGCAAGTGGTGTACGGTACGATCCGCTTGCCGTTTGGGGTTTTGGCAAGCGGTTCGCACAAAACCGCTTGCAATCTATAATTATGCAAACGGATCACCTAAAACCGCTTGCCATTTACAATTTTGAAAGCGGAAGTGCATAACCGCTTGCCATTTGGGGCTTCCCATTAACTATTTTCTACTAGTGAATTTGCTCCAAACTATTACTAGGCTAAATTGGTTGAATATTAATGAAACATATAAGTCTAAAATATTAGTGATCACTTAATTAAACAACAATAATAAAAAGGAACGTAAACTGGTTGTCCAAATTATCTTATTAGGTGTGATTCTCAATTACATATTCCCTTTAAACATGCAATACAGTGATAAATAAATATAATAAAATCAACATTAATATTAGAAGCAATTTAACCATAAATTGGTAGTAAAATCAAATATAAACCTAATCATGATACTAGCAACAAGAATAAAAATAAGTAATTAAATTAATTAATTACTCACATTTCGCGCGTTCCTTTAAATTGCTACATCATGAATAAACTGTTAGTAACTTCAATAAAAATATAAATTAAATTAAAACTAAATTTAATTATAAGTAGAGCTGATTTGGTCTAAGCCCTCAGTAAATTCTACCTTTCACGCCTTAGTTTAAGGACGAAACCTCGAGTTTTGTATGGACTCGTTCGAGTGCTTAAGTAAGGAATGATGAGAGAATGTGAATATAGATTTAACGCTTAGAGTATGAGAGAGAGAGAGAGAGAGAGAGAGAGAGAGAGAGAGAGAGAGAGAGAGAGAGAGAGAGAGAGAGAGAAGAGGAATGCCTTTTGATCTTGAAGAGAGAATGATTTTGTGCCTCGAACGGTAGAAATCAGGCTCACGAAGAAATGAGTAGGGGATCACACGGAACCATAGAAAAGATAAAAACCCTGATTTGGGGCACCATGATACGGTGTGTGTACCATGACATGGTCACTAGGCACCGTGTCACGGTATTATCTATTGTGGTGCGGTAAAATGTTTTCCCCTAAATGATAAAACGCGTGAGGTATGTGTACCGTGATACGACAAAGGACACCGCGATGCGGCATTGTCCACCGTTGCGCGTCACGTGGCGTTGTGTCACGGTGTACATCTTTTCCTGAAATTCGAGAAAATGCGGAAAAGATATGGAAAAACCACCGTGTCCCGGTACCACGACATGGTATAGAATACCTTGTCACAGTACAAGGCACCCTGATACGTCAACAATTTTCGCGATGCGGCAATTTAGTTGTTTGGCAGTAATTCCAGTTTTTTTACGTGTTTTTAAAACTATGATAACTTTTGAT